TTCCCAAACCAGGGAAGGATGCAACTAAAAAAGAGAACTACAGGCCAATCTCCTTAATGAATATAGATGCAAAAAACTTTAATAAGATACTAGCAAAAAGAATACAGAGGATCATCAAGAAGATCATACATCCTGACCAAGTCAGATTTATTCCAGGGATGCAAGGATGGTTCCACATACGTAAGTCAGTAAATGTAATACACTATATTAACAAAGTTAAGGACAAAAAACATATGATCCTCTTGATAGATGCAGAAAAAGCATTTGACAAAATTCAACACCTATTCATGATAAAAACCCTGCAAAAATTAGAATAGATGTTCTATATCTCAACTTAATAAAGGCTATCTATGAAAAACCAACAGCCAACATCATATTATATTACGAAAAATGGAGAACCTTCACATTAAAATCAGGAAAAATAGAAGGATGCCCACTATCACCACTCCTCTCCAATATAGTTCTGGAAACATTAGCCATAGCAATTAGACATGAGAAAGAAATTAAAGCAATAAAGATAGGAAAGGAAGAAGTTAAACTGTCATTATTTGCTGACGATTTGATACTCTACATTTAAGATCAAAAACTCCACCAGAAGACTTCTATACTTAATTGCCACTTTTAGCAGAGTAGTTAGATACAAGCTCAACACCCAAAAATCAAAAGCCTTCCTGTACACAAATAACAGACTCACTGAGAGAGAAATTAGGGAAAGAATTCCTTTCACAATAGCATTGCAAAAAATGAAGTATCTAGGAATTGGTTTAACAGAAGCAAAAGACCTCTACACTGAAAACTACAGCATTCTGAAGAAAGAGATCAAAGAGGATATAAGAAAATGGAAAAGTATCCCCTGCTCCTGGGTAGGAAGAATCAACATAGTGAAAATGGTCATACTACCAAAACTGCTATACAGATTCAATGCAATGCCAATTGAAATTCCAACACTATATTTCACAGAACTAGAAAAAAGAATCCAAAAATTCATTTGGAACCATAAGAGACCTAGAATAGCAAAAGCCATCCTAGGCAACAGAGATACAGTAGTGGGTATAACAATTCCCAAGTTGAAACTATATTACAAAGCCACTGTGATATAAACAGCATGGTACTGCCAAACAAACAGACCTGAGGATCAGTGGAACAGATTGGAAGGTACAAAAACAACTCCAGATGTACTCAGCTATGTCATCTTAGACAGAGGAGCTGACAATCCCCACTGGAGGAAAGATAGCTGCTTTAATAAATGGTGTTGGAAAAACTGGATCTCAACCTGCCATAGATTAAAACTAGACCCTTGTCTTTTACCATGCACTAAAGTAAAATCCAAGTGGATTAAAGATCAAGAAATTAAAAGGAGGTGAAAAAAAGTAAAAAGAGTCAACAAAAGGCCAATAACATGTCAATAATAAGTCAGTACATATCAGTTATAACCAGCAATGTCAATGGCCTCAACTCACCAATCAAGAGAAATAGACTGGCAAAATGGAATAAGAAGCAAAATCCAATAATATGTTGTATACAAGAAACACACCTAGTGCAAAAAGAAGCCCATAGACAGAAAGTGAAAAGATAGAAAACAATTCTCCATGTGACAGG